TTCTTTTTTTTTTTTTTTTTTTTTTGCTTTGCTTTGCTTTGCGAAAGAGAAAAAAAAATATTTTGAAATGTCTTTGGAAATTGAACCGTACCTTGTCGTTCTTTTATATTATAAGTAGTAAAGCAGTCGAAGGGGAGAAGCGACTGAAAGAAGATCAAACGAGAGCAAAGATTTTTACCAATCCTGTTTAATCATCTAAAAGAATGAACGACAGTCCACACAAGGAGAAACCACAGAAATTAGTAAGTCGTTTTTTCGCTTTAATTTCTAATAATTATGAACCGAAAGTTCTGGAACTTGCATCTCCGGTATTATTAATTAAAATATCAGGAAAGATATATTTCTATTTATTTTTAAAGAAAATTTTCCGTGTTAAAAATTGTAAACGATATTTTGCAAAAATTTCATTTCGATAAAAATTATTAAAATACCTATACCCATATCGAGATGAATATTTCTGTGATTTTTCGTGACTGGTTAAAATAAGTCGATAATTTAAAAAATACAACGGAATTGAATTTACGTTTCCCTTGCGCTATAAGATACACAAAATACTGTGTGAAATATAACGAATAATTCCAATTTAACACAGGTCGCAACAGAAGCAACTCGTTTCGACGAATCTCACAATTCGACGAGCCGTATTTCCACACAACAGGAAGTAATTAGAGATTCACAGTCGATTACATTGCGGGCTACAAGTAAGTGAAGAACTAATTTACTCAGGCAAAAATATTTTATCTCTGATTAATTGCTGTTTATCGTGAAAACGGGCTTATTATATCGGGCTTTGGGAAGAAGATTAAACGTAAAGGGAGGAAACGATAATTAAGTCTTTGTGCAATTAAAGGAAATTTCATTATGGAGAAATTTCTATAATAAATTTTTATCGCAATGATTATATTCGAAGGAACGAAGAGTTAAGAACTTATTTAAAAAAAAAATGCTTTCTTCAATATTTTTCTTTTTTTTAATTTTTTAGCCACTATTTACGAACACCTTTCTAACACAAGTTTTTATCTCGTTAATTCGATGGTATATTAAATTTTAATAATCGCTAAACTTTATTACACCGACACATTTTTAATTCTTGTTCAACCCCTGCCAACCATTCATCGGTCAATTTACCTTTAATGAAACTGCAAAAGTAATCAGGAAAAAATCGCGAAAGATTTGAGTTTTGCGTTTCGATTTATTCTAAAAAGAAATAAATAAATAAATTCGAATCCGTAATTGTAAATTCTCACTTCGAACTTGACAAATTCTAATCGTCAAAAAAGAACTCGTACAGAACCGAATTAACGAAGAAAATCGATGTTTTCCCCTTTTGTCGATCGGTTTCCTTTGTTCCACCATCTTTTTAACCGTTTAAATGAAAAGCTCAAAATTTAACAAACAGCTGCGTGAAAACAGCAGACAGAAGGAATTGAGGAGGAAACGAAATGGATGATAAGGAACAAAAAACGGGAGAAACGTTTAACGAGATGAAGAAAAAAAAAAATCGCAAAAGGAAGAAACAATCGTTCTTTAATAGGGAACAACGTGGAAACTTTCCTAATGGGAAGGAGGAGCATCGTTATTTCTTTTGGAAAAGCGTCAATTAGGCGCGATAAGTGTCCTGTATAAATCGGCCTTTCGTAAATCGAAAGCCGAAACTCGTTCCCCCTGCCCGTTTTTCGCCAACCTCGACGAAGAACGGCCGTGTCATAAACCACGAGGATGTCAAACGTGGCCGTGTGAAAAAAAAGGGAAACACGTGGTGGCGCGTCCACAATTGATGATGATCACTCGAAAGAAATCCCCATCCCCCCTGTTGCCTTATTTTTCACGTCTGTGTCCCGCGATACGTTTCTCGAAACCGGGGCTAACGAAGTAAACCCCGGTTCTTTACGAACTGTAAAAAGGAAGGAAAACCAGATTTCGCTCCGGGATGAAGAAGATTAGGTCAGGGATTTTCGAGAAGATGGATCGGTCAACGTGATACGATTTTCCCGCGGAGGAGTTCTTTTTCTTCTTTTTTTCTTTTTTTTTTCTCTCTCTCGAAATAAATATGTTCAAATACGTTTCGATTTTGGATCGTGAAGGAAAACAGTGAAGGATAGACGTAGGATCTCGGAATTATATCCCCTTGATATTATTAAGAAGCGAAGAAAGATGATATTGAAAAATTCTTGCGTCGAACGAAGGGGAAATATATCGTTCCTTTCTCCTTCGTTCGAAGAAACGATAATTATAGAACGAAATACATTACGTTAGAGATATATCGATCTTGTAATTGGTTTAAACGTGTATAATATAGGGTTCGTAGGAGAGCACGAATAGAATAAAATAGAAAGCAATTTGAATTTTTTTATATTTTTGATATTTTGATAATTTGAAAGAATTATTATTGGAAACGATGTGAAAAAAACGCACGCACATACACATACACACTTTCCATTTCTTCCCTTTAAAAGAATATTACCCGAGAAAATTTCAATTTAAATTTAAATCGGCCCATCAAGGATCGAGAGAATGGTAACGTATTACTGGGGAGGGGGAAAAAAATCGACCTTAACAATCGGATTCGTTTATCTTAGGCACAGACGAGGATGAAGACGTTTCGAAGAAAAAAGATAGGCCCGAGCAGTTGACTCAAAGACTCTCGAGGGCTGAAACTGTCAGACAGGATGCCAGAAAATTGAAGACTGCCACGCTTAATAGAATGGGGAAAATGTTTAAGCAACGTTCTCAGACACCTGTCACGGATAAATCACCCCATGTCAACAGCGATACGGTGAGCAATTTCTATCTTGTCAGAAATATGCGTGTGTATAAATTTCTCCGACTCAGATGTATTCCATCTTTTTTTCATACGTTTCTTTTTTTTTTTATACGAATTGAATTACTACCCTTCCCACGAAAAATTTTCATTTCAAATTACACGTGATGATCGTTCACGCGTCACGAATCTAAACAATCTTTCTTTCAATCGAGAAGAATGATGATTCTTTGTGGCCGTTATCTCGTTCTCGTCGGCCCCCCCTTGGAAATAGGGATTAATATTGAAAATGTCTTTGTTTCGTCAGAATCCAATTAAATCTATAGAATGCTCTAGCGAGGAGACATCGAAAAAAGAGAAGAGCAATTCTTTGGGCAGGATGCTGAAGCTTGTGGATAAAGACGGCACGTCCAAAAAAATATTTCACCCTCGAGCAGGGTCGTTGAGTCGCATTCTGCGTCGGAATCCTAATCACGAGAATAACGAAGACAAAAAGCCCGAAGAGAACTCACCGGGGATTTTCTCGAGAATGCTGAGTCAGTTAAGAGGAAAGTAAAAAAAAAAAAAAAAAAAAAAAGGGAAGTGCAAACAGTTTTAACTCTTCGCATCTCTTCCTTCTAGCAAATACTTTCGATGAAAAGTCGCTTACACGAAAGGATGATTCTTATAATTATTAGTTGATTAAAAAGTAATGAAATTATTACGAAAAAAGAAAAAAATGGAATAGAAATTGCTATTCTTTTTTTCAAAGCGATGATAAGATAAAAATTTGATATTCTTAATATTCACAATGTTCAATTTTTTCCATATTTTTTTAAAAAAGAAATACCGAACGATACGATATTAAATTTCCTAGAAATGGATACTCTTTTCTATATAAAAAAAAATTGTAAAATATATTCTGCATAAATGAAAAATTTATTTAAAAATATTCATTTTTGAATTTCCTTTATTGATAACTTTTCGAAAATTGTTCTCCCGCTTCATTTATTGTGCGAGTAAAAAAAAAAATTTCCTTTCCTTTATCATATCAAAGTAAAACACGTTGCTCAAAGGATAACAAGCAAACTGATCTCGTTTCGAAAACTATGTATTATTATTATTATTATTTATATTATTTTGAATTAATGAAAAGCTGATGAGCACGAAAGTATATATTATTTCTCCATTAAAATTTTCTCTCGTACAATTTTATTTAAATAATTCAGATTGATCCGTCATTCTCTTTACCAACTGTAGATAAAAATCGTAATGGATTTTTGTTAAATGGATTATCTATTCGTTATTTTGACTTTAATATTTTAACATTTAGGTCGTCCACACAGTGGCAACGCCACACTCGAACCAAATCTGAAGATGCGCAACAAAAATTCGTTACCACCGAAAGCGCCATTGAATACAAGAACGACCAACAATGTACCTTCGTCAACTTCCGCTTCATCGCCTCAGACACAGGCTGCGGGATCGCCCCAGAAATATTCCACTTTCGAATATTCGATTTAAGTCGATTTAACCTCCAAAATAATGATTTTGTAATAAAATTAAAAATAATAAACTGTCTGATTATAAAAAAAAAAAAACAATCGTTGCGGATAAAATGGTTAATTTTTAAAATTCAAATTCAACTTTTTCCCAATAATTCGATAAGTTTCGAATGAGATTTTATGATATTGGCCATTTAACGTGCAACAAATATAACATTTGTATTTTATTATAACATTGTATTTAATTATTCGAATCATTTTTCGAACTGGTTCAAATTGTACTCGTGATAAAATTTCTCCTCCTCTTTTTTTTTTCCAGATATATATAAATAAAATAAATAACGAAAAGAAGAGGTATCCAATGCATTAAAAAAGAAAAAAAAAAAAAAGAAAAGAAACGAAGCGCGCATACGAGTATACGAATAATTTCGTAGAAATCGTATCAATCTCGTATGCGATATTGGTATATTGCGCTATCGAAATACGTCCAACGTTGAGAACAAATTTAAAAAAAAAAAAAAAAAGTTTACAATTCGATAGCTGATCAATACATACGTTTTAACGTATGTATTGTCTATACGCACTAGAAGAAAAACAATAACAATTTCGCGTAAAAAATTTACATTATTTCACGACGAATCCATGTCTCTAAATCGATACTTCCATTTACGTAGAGATACTTCGAAGATACGATTATTTCCTTTCAAAATTCCTTTCATAATATTTTACGCATATCTCATCGATGAAACGATTACTGTTATTATTATTTTAATACAACTTAATAAAAGTTAATCAAATAAAACGAACTCGTTCTTGCATTCGAATCTTCCCGATCGAAGTGAAGAAATGCAAAAACAGGATGATGTTTTCTTTTTTTATTTGGAAGAACCATGTTTATTACGTATGTATATTTCGTCTTTCTTCTTTTTCTTCCCCCCCCCCCTCCCCTTTTTTTTTTTTCGAACGAGACAACCCGTGTCTCCCTTCGTGCCTTGCACGCGCTGTACAATTTTCCTTCTTCTCTCCGCTTACATTAATTATTGATAGCATTACGACAAAAGTATTATATCGGGATGATTTTACGAATTTTAACGAACGATCGGTCGGGCGACGATTCGCAAAATCATTCCAAAAAGATTCTAGCTGTTCTAGCAGCTAGGGTACAAAAAAAAAAAAAATAGCATATTTACAAAAGGAAAAAAGAAAGAGAGATGAAAACTTACATACGGCATACATGATTTTTCTTTTTCGCGCACGCAAATCTCAGCGTTATTGCTCGTCGTGGAAATATACATATATATATATACATGCTCGATCAAAACCTGCGAAACTTGAAATATATAAATATTTCTGCACAATTAAAAGAAATTTTACACGCGCACAACTAATAATTCGTTTCGATTCAACCCTTTCTCCCCCTTTCCCCTTATTAAATAGATTAATAATATTTATAAAAATACGCATCGCGATAAAATACAATCGGTACGTTACCTTACGAAATACAAACGAAGATACGATCCACTCGAACAATGATATTTCATTTTTATTTCTTTCCTTCTCTTTATCCATTCGTTCCTATCCCGATCTAATAAATCTGTGAAATCGAAAGGAAATTACTTTCGTGAAAGTAAATGAATCGTTGTTCGAAAGAATTATTTGCCGGAGTTTTCGTATTCCCAGGTAAATATCGCAGACGTCAAGCACGTCCCATCTATTACGATTAACACACACTCACACACGATTGTGCCTAACGATTTGTGCGCGCCGTTTAAAAAATATAAACGTACAATATCTTTCTCCATCCTCGACTATCATCCTACTGTATTTACATCGAAGGTGTTTCGACGATTGTGCCTCGATCGTTCGATTTATCGTACAATTCTTCCTGTCATGATTTTTTTTTTTTTCCTTTTTATTTCACGTCGTTACGGGATCCTTGAAATCCAGTGAAAAGAAGAAAAAAAAAAAAAAAAAGAAGAAAAATAGTGATTGGCACGAACCCATACTCGAAAAACTTTAATATTAATTCAATCCAATTTTTGCTTTGCCACCTCGTACGGTTTCTTTAATTTCCCATACTCGATCCCCATACAATATTGATTTATCACAGAACAACGCATTCATTACACTAATGACAACGCAATTTTCGCATCGTATATATTCTTCGTGCTCCATCTTTTTTAATATATATATTTATATATTAATATAATAAATGGATTTCTCTGGATATTTATCAAATGTCAAAATAATTTAACATTTTCATCGAACTTGGTGCGTTAATATCGAGTGATGGAAATGAGATTCACAATTCATTTGATATCTACGCGAATTTTTTCGACAGTTTTAAATTCATTCTGGAAATAATTCGAGTTCGAGATATTCGAGACCGTGTTTGTTCTAAAAAAAAAAAAAAAAAGAATCGTTATTTTTCTTAAATTGTGCACAATAAATTTTGCCCTTTTTCGAAAACAGATCCGATTCAAAGATTTCTTTCATTCGTTCTTTCTTCGCGAGATTTCATTTCCATTACCCGCATTTCCCAAAACAATAGTAATAATTTATTCGACCGACAAAAATTTGGCAAAATTTATCCGACAATCCGCAATTTTTATCCCCTTTGTACGTGTGAAAAGCTGCAATGACATCGAATGCCTTAATTTATAGAGTAATTCAGATTATATTATACAGGATTCTTTTTTTTTTTTTTTTTTTTTTTTTTTTTTTATTATATTATATAATTACGTTATGATATGATCGTGGTATATGTATACAGAAGCTTACACAGACGATGATCGAAAATTTTTGTGACGTTACACTCGTAAATATAACAATTCGAGAAGGTATTTGACGCGATTCACGCGATGAATCTGGTTCGATGAAAGCATCGACGATTTATTTTTTGGAATTTGTTGGTGGCCAACCGTGTTCTTTCTTTTTTCTTTTTTTTTTTTTTACAAGCAATGCAACGTCACTTTAATTACGCACGCGATAATAATTTGATTAGAAAATATATAATAGGATCGTTTGTTAAATAAATTCGATAATTATTTATTATTATTATCATTATTATGTACAAATAATTTAAAAACTGTCGGTCTTTAGTTACACGTTTCAATGGAACATTTTCATGGAAATTGAATGTTAATGAGTTTGCAAAAATTATCTCCCTTTATTTATTCAATTATCACATTAATTTATTATTGATTTGTGTGCATAAAACTATGCAGAGTCGCGTTAATGATTTGGGGTGTAATGCAATAATTGTAGTATTGGATTGGCGCGAAATTTTGAAAAAATTTTGCGTGTGAAATTCGAACGAGCTCGAAGAAGAGTGAAAAATATTATGAATAAAAGAAGAAAACGAAGTTAGTTACGTTATAAAAATTATTTCATTTGGAAAGCAAACAAGTAATCGTCGTAAAATCGATATCGTTATAATCGATTGCAAAAGTATCTAAGTACGTTTTCA